TAGTCTAGTACTCAGTAACAAATCATAATAAGCAGATTTTGCCTGTACTTGCCAGTGCTAATACACTTATGTGTTTTCACTATAAAATTGATATCAATAAAGCCCCACCCACCACCAGAACATTTAAGGTCAGGAATTTCACAATCTTGGAAGAGGCATCTTTGCACACCATAAACATACTTAGTTTATCTACTAAATACCTAAAGGCAGAGAAGAAGAGTTTTAAAGAATTTATGCATTTTCACTATATGAACAATAGATTCCCGCCCTAACACCAGAAACCCTAACCAAGAGGCCAATGATTTCACAATTTGGAAAGTGGCATCCTTACTCATCATAACCATAAACTTAGATTGTCTGTTAAATACCCATGCAAGAGCAGAGAAGAAGATTCTCAAAGAAAAATGCACTTTTACAATGTGATCACCCTACAGGAACCCTGACCCAGGGGTCATGAATTTTAAAATCTGAATACTCAAGAGCAGAAAAAAACATTTAAAAAAAAAAATGCATTTTAACTACGTTATCAATAGAGTCCCACCCTAATACCAGAACCTCTCACTCTGTTGCCATGAATTTCACAATTTTAACTTGAAGAGGCACGCTTGCTCATCATAACCATGCACTAAGTTTGTTCTCTCAATACACAGGAGCAGGGAAGATTTTCATATATATATATATATATATATATATATATATATATATATATATATATATATATATATATATATATATATTCATGCGTTTTTACAATGTTGTCAACATGGCCCTAACCTTACACCAGAACACCTAATCCAGGGGCCATGAATTTCACAATTAAGGAGGCATCCTTGCTCATCATAACCATGCATTTAATTTTTCTGTTTAATACCCAGGAGTGGAGAAGATTTTTAAAGAATTTATGCATTTTACTATATAATCAAAAGAGGCCCATCCTAACATCAGAATCCCTGACCAAGCGGCCAGGGACTTCATTATTTTGGCTAAGGCACCCTTGCTTATCATAATTATGCATTTAGTTTGTTTGCTTAATACCCAGGAGCAGAAAAAAGATTCTAACAGAAATAATGCATTCTCACAAGATAATCAATACATCCCTGTCTTCCCACCCTCACCCAACCCCAACAGAACTCCTGACCCAAGGGCCATGAAATTAACAATTTTGGAAGAGATACCCTTGCTCATCCTAACCATGCACTTGATTATCTACTAAATATCAATGAGCAGAAAAGATATTCAAAGAATTTATGCATTTTCACTATATAATCAAAAGAGCCCCGCTCTAGTACTAGAAATCATGACTAAGGGACCATGAAATTAACAATTTTGGAATAGGCATTCTTGCTCATCATAACTATGCACTACGTTTGTTTCCTAAATACCAAGGAGCTGAGATTAAGATTTTCAAAGAATTAATGCATTTTTCATTACATAATGAATACAGCCCACCACCAGAACTCCTGACCCAGAGGCCACTAATTTCACACTTTTGGAAAAGGCACTCTTGCTCATCATAACTATGCATGTAGTTTTTCTGCTCAATACACGGCAGAGAAGAAGATTTCTAAAGAATTTATGCATTTTCACTATATGATCTAAGAGCCACATCCTCCTTAACCTGGGGCCATGAATTTCAAAATTTTGGTAGAGGGCTCAATACATGGTTATTACAATTATGACAACATTTTGATGTCCAGGAATAAAGAGGAAGATATTTAAAGACAGCACTAATTTTGATGGTTTTAGCCCCATCCCTCAGCCACCGGGATGCGGAGACCATTTAATTCACAATTTTTGTTCCCCTTCACTCATATATATTATATGCCAAAATTGGTTTGAATTGGTTGAGCGGTTCTATAGAAGAAGCTGAAAATATTCAAATGTTAACGTACGATGCGCATCGCACAAGGCACGACGGCGGACAAAAACAGATAGAAATAGGTCATCTTAGTAACTCAGGTGACCTTTAAACTGCCTCATCGTCAGATGTCAAACTCGGGTAAAAATGTAGCTGCAGCTCTAAAGCTCTTTGGTCTGAATACAATTCGGATGGACGACCAGAGAGCTACAATGCCACCAACTGAAATAAGATTAGTGTATATTTATTGGGTACTACTTCCCTAACAAAACAATATGAACATGTCATGCATGAAGTGCGTGGGACCGATTTGGCTAACCACCCAAAATGGCAGTGCATCGTGTAAATAATCTCTTTTTATTTATAGAAGCGTATTAACAACCGATTTTAGGGGATGTATTGTTGTAGAAGTAGTAAAACAATTAAATTCGTTGAGAACACATGGTAATTAATATTATAAATCGAAAAACAGCGCGCTCTTTTACAGCGCAATAAACATACACATTTTTCAATGGATGGAACTGTAGCTCTCTGGTCGTTTTTCAGACCACCGAGCTACAGATCGCAGCAAGTAAAAACGGTATAGGAGATATTAAGTGCTGATAAAAAACAACAACAAAATAACATTCTTAATATAAAATATGAAAATGAAAGCCTGCCTCAGGAACAAAGATGTCATTGACCCAGGATCAAAGAAGGCCTGCCTCAGGAACAAAGATGTCATTGTCCTAAGATCGAAGAAAGCCTGCCTCAGGAACAAAGATGTCATTGTCCTAGGATCGAAGATAGCCTGCCTCAGGAACAAAGATATCATTGTCCCAGGATCGAAGAAAGCCTGCCTCAGGAACAAATATGTCATTGTCCTAGGATCGAAGGCCTGCCTCACGATCATAGAAATCATTGTCCCAGGATCAAAGGAAGCATGCCTCAGGAACAAAGATATCATTGTCCAAGGATCGAAGGCCTGCCTCAGGAACAAAGATGTCATTGTCCCAGGATCAAAGAAAGTATGCCTCAGGAACAAAGACATCATTGTCCAAGGATCGAAGGCCTGCCTCACGATCATAGAAGTCATTGCCCCAGGATCAATGAAAGCATGCCTCAGGAACAAAGATGTAATTGTCCCAGGATTAAAGAAAGCCTGTCTCAGGAACAAAGATGTCATTGTCCCAGGATCAAAGAAAGCCTGTCTCAAGAACATAGATGTCATTGTCCCAGGATCAAAGAAAGCATGCCTCAGAAACACAGAAGTTATTTTCTTTGGATCGAAGGCCTGCCTCACGATCATAGAAGTCATTGTCCCAGGATCAAAGAAAGCCTGCCTCAGGAACATAGATGTCATTGTCCCAGGATCGAAGGCCTGCCTCGCGATCATAGAAGTCATTGTTCCAGGATCAAAGAAAGCCTGCCTCAAAGACATAGATGTCATTGTTCCAGGATCGAAGGCCTGCCTCACGATCATAGAAGTCATCGTACCAGGATTATAGAAAGCCTGCCTCAGGATCATAGAAGGCATTATCCCAGGATCGAAGAAGGCCTGCCTCACGATCATAGAAGTCATTGTACCAGGATTATAGAAAGCCTGCCTCGGGATCATAGAAGGCATTATCCCAGGATCGAAGAAGGCCTGCCTTACGATCATAGAAGTCATCGTACCAGGATTATAGAAAGCCTGCCTCAGGATCATAGAAGGCATTATCCCAGGATCGAAGAAGGCCTGCCTCACGATAATAGAAGTCATTGTACCAGGATTATAGAAAGCCTGCCTCAGGATCATAGAAGGCATCATAGAAGTCATTGTCGAAGGATGGTATAAGACATGCCTCAGGATCACAACAGGCATTGCCATGGATGCATCAGTATTTTGGCAGTCAAAACAATGCCTCAGTATCATAGTAGTCAGAGTAATGCCTCAGTATCTTTCAGGTCAAAACAATGCCTCAGTATCTGAGTAGTCAGAACCATGCCTCAGTATCTAAGTAGTCAAAACAATGCCTCAGTATCTAAGTAGTCAGAACCATGCCTCAGTATCTAAGTAGTCAAAACAATGCCTCAGTATCTAAGTAGTCAAAACAATGCCTCAGTATCATAGTAGTCAGAACCATGCCTCAGTATCTACGTAGTCAAAACAATGTCTCAGTATCTGAGTAGTCAAAACAATGCCTCAGTATCTAAGTAGTCAGAACCATGCCTCAGTATCTAAGTAGTCAGAACAATGCCTCAGTATCTAAGTAGTCAAAATAATGCCTCAGTATCTAAGTAGTCAGAACCATGCCTCAGTATCTAAGTAGTCAGAACAATGCCTCAGTATCTAAGTAGTCAAAATAATGCCTCAGTATCTAAGTAGTCAGAACAATGCCTCGGTATCTAAGTAGTCAAAATAATGCCTCAGTATCTAAGTAGTCAAAACAATGCCTCAGAATCTAAGTAGTCAGAACAATGCCTCAGTATCTAAGTAGTCAGAACAATGCCTCAGTATCTAAGTAGTCAGAACAATGCCTCAGTATTTTAGTAGTCAGAACAATGACTCGGTATTTTAGTAGTCAGAACAATGCCTCGGTATTTTAGTAGTCAGAACAATGCCTCGGTAATTTAGTAGTTAGAACAATGCCTCGGTATCCTAGTAGTCAGAACAATGCTTCATAATCATGAAATGCGTGGGTAAGGTTATACCTCTGAAATGCCTTAAGCAGTATCACACTGATAATATGATATACTGAAACCTTCTTGAAGACTAGATGATTATGTCAATTTGTGCACATCGAGAAAAATGTAAGCATTATAAGTAAAACTCCTTTAGCAAATGTTCTGTATATGAATGTTTTCCTTACAAGTGTGATTTTTTATATCGAAACATTTAAATTGTTTTTAATTAAGCAATATCTTAATTTTAAAGATTTCTTTTTATTCGTCACATAGAAAACAGTATATTTAACGAACATAAATCACTTTTTCTCAACCACAATCGCCAACTGATTGTCGGTGTAAATGAAGTACACGTCACCTTATGTTACCTGACAGATATTTTACCTGGAGCTTTGAGAACTTCATTGATGAGAAAACAAGCAGTTATGTCAACACGATTATCGAAGACAGACCCTGTGCTGTAGCCGGTATAAATGGCAGCGAGTGATCGTTCGCCGTACTGTTTAACATTGGATTACGTGAGACGCACGGCACTTCTGTCAGTGAACAGGTGCGAGCTTATAGAGCGGAAGCACCGACTGTCCTACAGCCGGCCGCGCATGCCAGACAACTAACTGACCGCATTGTTTCGTGTATTAGTTTATCCCTTGTTTTCATAAGGTAGAAACATTTCTGTGAAGAATATGGCCCTCCAGGAAATAACCGAAAAATTCGGAGGGATATGGAAAATGGAATCGGAGGAAAATATTGCTAAATATCTAGAAGCGATGGGTAAGGAAAGAAATTAATTTTTCAAAACTAAACAATTTTGATTTTAAATTGTTTTCAATTTCCGATGAAAAGTCGTGGTTTTAATCGACTCTCTCTCTCTCTCTCTCTCTCTCTCTCTAGAAATGAAAACCTGTAAGAAAACTTTATTGTTCTATTTAAAATTATTTTTGATGAATTTTGACTCTATTTCCTTTTTACCTTTGACAAAAAATACCGATAAAACCACTTCATGTTTATTCTAAAAGATATCTTAATTAATTGCTCTAATTAACGGTACGAAAATAACACAAAATAGAACTTCCGTTGTAGCGTAATTATTTCTGACGCACGTTTCATGTCTTAATCATCTTTAACTTTGGGAAAAGAAAGCATGTTTCATAAAAAAAATCTTTTGGAGGAGACAGTAATGGGGAAAATATGTAACAGGTCGGGAAAATTAATGTGCTTGGGAGAGTGAAAATAGATTGTTGTCTGGGTGTACAGCTTACGTAATGTGTTTTTAAATTTACCCCTCACCTTTGTAATAAAAGATCAAAGTTCTTGACTGCATAATTTCAAAAAGAAAAAAAAACAATACCCTTATTTGTAGCTATGTGTAACTTTAAAATTTGAATGTTTATTGCGCGAGGGTATGTCACATGTAATTTATTTTGATTTAGCGAGTGTAACTGTCATTACTAACACCGGAATTTACATGCTTCGATAAAATAAATTCACCCCCTGGAGGACACGATATTTTATATCTTTTAAAACAGATACACACCTTGTTTTGTTAAATAAATGTAAAGTAAAAAGAAATTATTGATTTTATCTGCATCGGCGCCCTTGTACACACAGTACATTGAACTTCAAGGTGTCTGTTTACTTTTAAAGAAAAAAAATGACAATTAGCAAAGACATACTGTATAATTCACACATCAGACTTTTTCATATTTACTGCACCAAGCTGTCATTACCAAACACATAATTTATTTTCACTTGGGACCTCTTGGCATGTCGTCATATTTCAATGAGTACCATATTTAAAATAAATATATACTTCAGAAAAATAATGCTTTTGGGCGCCTCGGTGTCAGCGAATAAATCTTCAAGCTTATAATCCTAGACATCTACCGGCAATTAGGGGCACACAATAGTGTTAATGTTGATGAAAACAATCAGTCAACAACAACAATACTTTTTTCAAGTAAAATTAAGCACATTTCTGTCGCTTGTGGTAATAACTTCCTTCATTAATTCAAAAATATAAATGCGAGCAAACGTAGTGAAGTAAACGTACCAGGACATAACATGCATCGGGAGATAAGTATGTCGTTAGCGGTTAGTTGATTTACTAACAGACAGACAGTGTAATCAATGCATAGAACTCATACTCAAACCTGATCATTGATCACTGACAGACAAACAGACAGTGTAATCAGTGGGACTTATACACAGATCTGATCATTGTTCACTGACAAACAGACAGTGTAATCAGTGGAACTTATACACAAATCTGATCATTGATCACTGACAGACAAACAGACAGTGTAATCAGTGGGACTTTTACACAAACCTGATCATTGATCACTGACAGACAAACAGACAGTGTAATCAGTGGGACTTATACACAGATCTGATCATTGTTCACTGACAAACAGACAGTGTAATCAGTGGAACTTATACACAAATCTGATCATTGATCACTGACAGACAAACAGACAGTGTAATCAGTGGGACTTATACACAAACCTGATCATTGATCACTGACAGACAAACAGACATTGTAATCAATGGAACTTATACACAAACCTGATCATTGATCACTGACAGACAAAAAGACATTGTAGTCAATGGAACGTATACACAAACCTGATCATTGATCACTGACAGACAAACAGACAGTGTTATCATTGGGACTTATACACAAACCTGATCATTGATCACTGACAGACAAACAGACATTGTAATCAGTAGAACCTATACACAAACCTGATCATTGATCACTGACAGAAAAACAGACAGTGTAATCAGTGGAACTTATACACAGATCTGATCATTGTTCACTGACAGACAAACAGACAGTGTAATCAGTGGAACTTATACACAGATCTGATCATTGTTCACTGACAGACAAACAGACAGTGTAATCAGTGGGACTTATACACAAACCTGATCATTGATCACTGACAGACAAACAGACAGTGTAATCAGTGGGACTTATACACAGATCTGATCATTGTTCACTGACAAACAGACAGTGTAATCAGTGGAACTTATACACAAACCTGATCATTGATCACTGACAGACAGTAATAAGTGGAACTTATAAAAAACCTTAGCAGTGACTTCTTAATTCACGGAGGGACCTATGATCAATCCTCCATCACGAGTTGCTCCTTTCTCATTTGTTGGAGAGGGGATTCTTTGTGACTCAGAGGACCTATGCATTCCCTAGATTTCGTCGTTACCCTCAGTAAGGAGTTCGTAATCCCCCTGCTATAAAACACGTAATCCTTATTCCGAAAATAAACTTGAATAGTAATATTGAAAATTTTTTTTCTCTAAAGCACAAACAATGTACATTTTGTTCAAAGTAAATTCTAACAAAGCTTTAAAATCAGATTAGATGTTCAGAGCTTGAAGTCAAAGTGAATAAGATTGATTAATTGTATGTTAATTGTTTTACGTCCCATTCAAGAATTTTTCACTCATATAGTGACGTCACAATATACCGGTAAAGGGCTTCAAATTTAGACCTTTACTTGGCACGATCAGAGTCATTGAGCAGTGAGGGTTCTTTATCGTGCCAGCGCCTGCCGGAACCTCGGTCCGAAGGACCCACAACTTCAAAGTACCGAGCGCTTGGCGAAGGAACAGTTACTACCTATTTTTCAACGACTAGGTCAGTCGCGGCCATGGCTCGAACCCACGAAGTGAGCGCTCTACCGAATGAGCCACCATGACAGTCAAAGTAAATAAGAAGTTTGTGATATAATAAGGGATATATCCCTGCTGCAGATAATCTTTTTGGCGATATTTCATGGCTACAGATGCTCTTTTTGGCGATATTTCCACAGATACAGAACTCTTTTCGGTGATATTTCCCCGCAACAGGTACTCTTTTTGGTGATATTTCCCCGCTACAGGTACTCTTTTTGGCGACATTTCCCCGCTACAGGTTCTTTTTTTTTTGGCGATATTTCCCCGCTACAGGTACTTTTTTGGCGATATATAACCGAAGTCCCGTGTCACGGTAGGCGTTGGCATGATAAAGAACCTTCACTGCTCAATGGCCCTGAGTGCCGAGTTAAGGTCTAAATTTGAAGCCCTTCACCGACATACGCGTACGGTGACGTCTCTATATAAGTGAAAAATTCTCGAATGGGACGTTAAACACCGTACAATCTATCAATCGAATAATTTCGATTTGACTTACTTTTGAAAAACGTTTAACCTTGGCCACCTCTTTTGAACGGTTGGTACTAGGGTATTCATATTTAAAAGATATATTCCTTGTGGCAAGGCCTTCCCTTGGGTACCAATAATTATCTTTTACCTTGACTTTTGAGTTTGACCTACTTTTGAAAAACGTTAACTTTGGCCATCACTTTTGAACGGTTGGTACTAGGGCCTTCATATTCCTTGTGACAAGGCCTTCCCTTGGGTTTTAACAATTTTGACCTTGACCTTTGAGTTTGACCCACTTTTGACTTTTGAACAGTTGAACTTTTGAACAGTTGGTGCTAGGGCTTTCAAATTTGGCAGGTCTATTCCTTGTGACGAGAGCTTTCCTTGGGTACCAGCATTTATAATCTCTTGACCTTGGAGTTTGACTTGCATTTGAGAAACCTTAACCTTCGCCATAAGCTGCCATACGGGGGCAACAGTTTTTCACAAACACATCTAGTTTTATCCTGATCCGGGAGAGGTCAATCATACATTTTTTTTAAACGTAATAAGCACCTCAAGCTTCTGGCAAATTCGCCATTGTGTTGTTCGTATTTTTATGCCCCCGGTATCAATGATTCGGGGACATTTAGTTTTTGCTCTGTCCGTCCGTCTGTTTGTCTGTTTATCAGCAAAAACATAAAACTTTTGAAGAGTTGGAGCTCTGGTTTTCATATTCAATATGTGTATTTCTTTTGACAAGACCTTTCTTTACATAGCAACATGTTTGACCTCTTGGCCGACCTTGACCTTTTAAGTTTGATCAACTTTTTAAAATTTTTATCAAACTTAAACCTTGGCCATCACTTTTAAAATATTTGCTACTAGAGCTTTCATACTTCACATCTGTATTCCTTGAGACAAGACCTTCCTTGGGTATCAACAATTTTGCCCCTTGATCTTGACCTTGGAGTTTGACCTACTTTTGAAAACTTTTAACCTTGGCCATAATTTTGGAACGCCTTGGGCTAGGGCTTTCATACTTCACAGTTGTATTTTTGCGACAAGACCTTCCCTAGGGTACCATTTATTTTGACCCTTTGACCTTGGCCTTGGAGTTTGACCTACTTTAGAAAAACTTTAACCTTGGCCATAAATTTTGATCAGTTGGTGCTAAGACTTTCGTATTTCACAAGTCTATTTCTTGTGACGAGAACTTTCCTTGGGTACCAACACTTTTTAGCTCATGGCCTTGACCTTGGCGTTTGACTTGCATTTGAGAAACTTTAGCTGTCACCATGAGCTGCCATACAGGGGCATCAATGTTTCACAAACATATCTATTTATTTTTACATTTACTTAATACATCAAATGAAGTGCATTAATCTAAAGCAAAATATAATTTTGCATACTATTTAAGAGTGTGCATACTTTTAAGAATAGGTTAATCTTTCACATGTAAATATAACTATTAACTTGTTATTACTTGATATATATATTATCTGGAATTAATATTAAATGACATTTAGTGTGGTACAGATGTACTTTAAAGCTTGCGTCTTCTGACACATGTGTATTGGAAAATACTTTTATTTACCTAGTACGTGGAGTTCATCACGTCCATATATGCCAGAAGTACCTAACTACATTTCCTAGAACGTTTCTACCCTCTTTAGCCTTCATAATAGCTATGAAGAATATTTTCAAATAACCGATTTTATTGCCATTTTAGGAGTTGGGTTTCTAATGAAGAAAATGGCCTCCGCGATGAAACCCACTATGGTTATAGAAGTTCAAGGAGAGGAGATAGTCGTTACGAGGAAAACCCCGATCAAGGACCTTCATTCCCGACACAAACTTGGAGAGGAAACAGACATAGTCGAACACGACCGGAAGTATAAGGTAACGTCTAGCACTTGAATGGAGTCAAGGCAATATCCGGCAATTGAAATAAATCATAGTTTTTTAAACAAACATGATCAAATCTAAACATGAAAATCACCGACGCTGTAATTAGTATTAACTTTTGCTTTGTGATGTATTGATTTTACCTCTGGGTTTTTAGCATTCGTGGAAAAAATTATATGTTTTGATGTGCTGATTATATGATGTACACAAGAAGATATTTTTCCATAAAATGAAAAATGTGGTTCATTTTAGGGTAGGATGGTCAAAATTCTTTGTAGAACACGTATGCCAGTAGGAAATGTTTGATTACGTAGAGGATAATTTCAAAAACACGTCTTTAATTACATCTGTGTGATTAACAATAATTTTGCAGTGCCCGTATCCATTTCCTATCGCGTCTTGTGTGATTGACGTTAGTATGAATATGATTTCAGTTCTCAGCCATGCGTTATTAAGTAATTTCTTTAACATCTGGAAAATCTTTATTGGTAGTCCACCATGACGTTCAGTGATGGCAAGATTCAAATAAATAACGTGCCTGCGGACGATAAGGGAAAACCGAACACACTCACACGGGAAGTAGAGGGCGACAAACTAATTCAGGTAATCAAACATGTAGGCTTCACTGTGACATCATGAAAAAAGTACAATCTGATTGGAATTTTTGACAATCCTTCTATAATCAAATTAAAGTCACTCAATTTTAGCAAAGTCAAAGACAATTTCAATTTTCTTGTCTTACAAATTGATATGTAACGCAAAACGGACTCGATCTACATGTACCCTAAAAATCGGACTAAGATCGAGGTTCATGCAGGGTCATTCGGCGTCTCTTGTGAACACACTCTATGATTCCTGGAAATACATATATTTTTTTTTTCTCTTTGAAATCTCCTATATATACATCATTATACATATTGCTGCACTTTGGAAAAAAAAATTATGCTTATGGAAATTTTCGTTTAAAAAAATTACAATGATCGGTTTGCCAACTGATAAACACACTACCAAGGCAAATTTTATGAATTCCAAAAATCCATGTTTCCCTATGCAACGTGTATTTGGTCGATAAACAAACCCTACAGGTATAACATTTCTTGTACAAATAAATCACATAATAGACAACACATGTATCTCTAAGATCAAGTGATTTTATCGTCAGCTTTGAACCCTTTACTCCGACGAGGTGAAAGATTTGTTTATAAACCTGTGAAACTGGCCTCGGTGGATATAAGCTAGATACAGAACAGACCCCAGTCTGAGTGTTTGTAAAATGATTGATGTTAACTGGTAATTAATGAACATGCCTGCTCTAAATACGAGTCTGTATAACAGAGATGTATTACATATTTCTTAAGTAATGAAAACGATAACGTATTCAACACGACGTTACACGTCTTCTGTGATCTAAGATATTATAGCATTTAGTTCTTTTCCTAGAGAAATGTTTTTATCATTTATGTCATTTTAAATTTGGATCTTCTTTGCCAGTCTGCAGATCAATAACTTGAGTTCTAAATTTTTTTTAGAACATCCTTTTCAAAAAAAAGTGTTCAAAATGTTTTACTGTATCGGTCAATGTTTAACTTTTATTTCTCTGTAATTCATACAAATACAGACTTTTTTTAATTGGAACAAATTCGGCGATATAGAAGTAACTGCTGTGGTAAATAGCTATATCTGGAGTCAATAGTACACCCAAAAGAATAAACATTATACAAAGGGCTTGCAACAAAATGCAAGCAATTAATTTTTCTTTCAGAGAGAAATAAACTTCAAACATGAACCATCCACTGGAGGCTGATAAATTGCATTAAACCTATAATGAACAATTATCATTTAGATAAAGTTATAACGGACGAGCGACCGTTATGTCATTATTCAGTTAATCGACTTTTGTTTCGTTTCAGACGTACACAGTGGACGATATTGTCGCCACAGTGTCTTTCCGGAAAAATTGATTCCAACCATCACCAAGTGCCATTCTTCAATCTACATCACGCGAATCGCTTCCACGTGGCGAAACAGTTAATGGTGCCTTAAAAGCACGAACATTTTTAATGCCACAATTTTGTTGCAGATGTATTTGTGTTGTTACTTATTTTACATGCGCCCATATATCTGACTCTAAATAAGATTCTATGAACAGAGGGCGGCCATGTCGAAATCATCAGAATTGAATATTTCTGATGCTTCGATCCGTTCACCATTTTCTGCTTCTACAGACAGTATTGTCGTCGTGTTGAATGTTGATACTTATTTTACTGTATTTTATGTTTTTATCTATATTGCTCATTTTGTATTGATTATTTTTACTTTTGTTGAAAAATTTACAGTTCGTCTACATAAAACTTATTTAATCTTTAGTAGGACAATACTCACTTCCGGTTAGCGACAGCTGAATTTCTCTATAGTCTGTGCAGTTATTATAATCGCTCACTGCATGGAACAAAAAAGAGATCCTTTGATGTGCATGTAGAACAACTTAAAAATATCCTAAGGGTGGTCAAGGATGTCAAGGTAAACATAACCTTCTGGAGGAAGTACGACCTGACATATTCCTATGGCTACTCATTCACCAGGTTTTTAATAGTAAATGTTATACTACTTATATAGCTGGTATAAAACTCAATATACATGAACTTATTTTCAATTTAAAGTTTTAATTCATTAAAACCAAATATTTATAGCATTTTCAATCCTTATATTAATCTTGATGCACATTTTAAACATTTTCAATTTAACTGTATAACTTTGCTTAATGTTAATATGTCTGATTCGTATTTTGCCTCTAGACGTTCCAGAGCTTACGTTAAAGACTAAAGGAATGTTAATAGGGGGATCCAGCGTCCTCTGGGGCTAAAGTTTAAAGGCACTTGAATGTGTGATAATTTCCTTTGTTCCTCGCGCTACATAGAACGCATGCCTTTTTTTCTCAGCCATTACATAACAATTGACCTCCAAGAACAACTTCATCCTAGTCTTTGAATTGTCAGCGCTTTTGTATCAGAAACCAGGTTACCAGAACAAGGAGCCGTGAGTAAACTCTCGCTGTTGGATCGTTTCATTGCGGTTTTTGGAGGCTTGTTTTCCAGTTTTGAAAGCAGTGCAATATCAATCTAGATACTTATCGTTAGGAACCGACAAATTACGGCGAATCTTTCACGCCTGCCGGCGCAGCATCCGCCATGGGAACACGTTCCTCGTGTTCTGCTGCATTTTTCGGCATGTTATATTAATTATTTTGCACGGGTTGACTCCCCCAAAACATTTCCTTCTTGAGATTTTACTAGTTTTTTGTTAGAGACCGATTTCATGATGTGGAATTTTAATCAGGTTAATATAATATGGTAATTCTACAGACCTTTAGTCTGCCAATTATTATTTTAAAAAAACATGAAAGTTTTGTTTCAATTCCAAAAATAAAATTGGGAATATAACTACATGTATAACATTATCATTATTATTTTTCTAAATTTATAGATTAAAAATATAAGGACAGTCATGGATTGTGATAATATGTAGGTTAATAGAGAGCAATCACTCACATCATGATTACATTCACAGGAAAAAAGCAGATTTTTTTTTTTCAAAAAGCAGAATGGTATTATGTTCACAACATAATTTAAAAATATCAATTACTGTCCTATTTTTGTGTATCTCTTGATACTTTTTAAATTGTGTGTCCTAGTTCTAACATTGTCCTTGACCTTTGACCCTGAATCAATGGGCTTCTGTCTTTAGCCACCATGCATCTTTTTAGTAAGTATATATGAAACTGAAAGGACAACAGCCATTCTCTCAATCAATCCACAACGGAATTTATACCTGTACAGGATCCTCTGTCACCTGTAGTAAACTTAGTCTGAATTAAGGATGAAATAAGGTCGGTACTCTTGAGTAAATTAAGGACAATTAAAGGTCAGTATTCTTGAAGCTGAACTAAGGATGATTAAAGGTCGGTACTCTTGAAGCTGAATTAAGGACGATTAAAGGTCGGTACTTTTGAGTCAGAATTAAGGACGATTAAAGGTCGGTACTTTTGAGTCAGAATTGAGGACGATTAAAGGTCGGTACTTTTGAGTCAGAATTGAGGACGATTAAAGGTCGGTACTTTTGAGTCAGAATTAAGGACGATTAAAGGTCGGTACTTTTGAGTCAGAATTAAGGACGATTAAAGGTCGGTACTTTTGAGTCAGAATTGAGGACGATTAAAGGTCGGTACTTTTGAGTCAGAATTGAGGACGATTAAAGGTCGGTACTTTTGAGTCAGAATTAAGGACGATTAAACGTCGGTACTTTTGAGTCAGAATTAAGGACGATTAAAGGTCGGTACTTTTGAGTCAGAATTAAGGATGATTAAAGGTCGGTACTCTTGAAGCTGAATTAAGAATGAATAAAGGTAGGTACTCTTGAAGCTGAATTAAGGATGAATAAAGGCCAGTACTCAACAAATCATGAACACAAGACTGATACAAGACATCGTAATTTCAACCTTATTAATAACCTTAGAACAGTAAATATGAGGTTCATTTTTTCACCTTTGACCTTCAAATAAAAAGGGGTACTCCTCCTTGCATTAACATGGTCTTAAGGATCATACATGTATAGTACTCCTTATATTCAGATACCCTTACTTTGAACTTTGATCTTTTGACCTTTTAGACGAGTAGCCTTGTATTCGTGTATATCTTCCACCTCTGTGGCAGCTGAAAGTTTCAGTGTCTTCACAACATGACCCTCAGGCTGGCCTTGATTTGTAACTATTGGCCCTCAAAAGTTTCCTCTGGTCACTTTCCCTGAGTCTGCATGCTCAATGGTACACTATAAATATCGTGTTCACGACATTGCTAAGGAGACGTTTTTACTTTGACGATGGCAGATTAAGAGTAAGAATTAAGTAGATTGTTTAACCTTCAAGGACAGACATATTTACTGGAGAGAATTATTCTGTCCTCTCTCAAGGTTTTACAATCAAATCGCATCGAAAAGAATGTTCAGTTCACGCATCCGTGTGTTTAACGGAATCACTTGTTTTGAACATATTTTATTGACAATATGTCAAAGGGATTGGACACAAGTTCTAAAAACTTAGATAGACCTCTCCCATACATAAAACGGAATCACTCTTTTAACTTTGATGTTAAGAAATGAAAGTAGAAACTCCTACTTCCTCCCAGATCATTCTAGACAAAATAACGCCTTCCTCTCTCTGTTAAGTCCTCAAATGGTCTTCCTTTCCACATCGGTTTTCTGCAAATGTCAGTATGTCATACTGAAGTACCCTTCCTTGGTAAGCCTACGACATTTTAATTCTACGGAATGATAATATTTACAGCATCTAGTAACCCTTTATCTGTACAATGTCTTTGCCACCGTATAAAGGGCCATTTCTGTGGGTATTTCTAGCCGTGGGTGAAGAACTATATATAACGTTAATGAGTACGTAGCCTGTAACGGATCAGACGAGTTGTTCTTTAGAATATTGAAATCAAAAGAATAGGTGGGCTGTCACTTTCGTCATCACAATATATCAGAAGATTTAGTAGAGTGATGAGTGCTTTAAGCTAAAAATAGACTTAAAACAGAACGGAAGGCGTTCAAAAGATCTCAATTATATAATGCACTAAACATCCATTATCCATTGCCCTGTATTTATAGCTATAATAAATAAATCCAAGGAATCTTAATGATCCACAAAAAAGGCTCCTGCAAACCCGGAGGACAGTTATAATATATAATTTATATTCCAATCAATTCCAGTCACATGACGTTTGTGTGTTATGATAAAATACTCCTCTCTCCCTCTCTCTCTCTCTCTCTCCAACATCAATATGACTTGTCCTCGAAAGACAAGCATTTGCTTACGAGTGTTATGTAAGGGTATTGTGTGTCATTGTAAAGTAGTGCTCAATACTTTTAGAATAAAGAGCTATATTTCAATGCAATGCTGTATTTCAATGCTCCATTTCGCCTTTGCATTTAAATCGGACTTGGTCATTTCTAATGCTAGACCTAAAGACTCTTTTGGTAAAGCAAAACCTGAATGTGAACGGTTGTGATTGAATTTAAAGTTATCACAAAATTATGATGGCCCGATAGGGCCATTTAAAAAGTCTAACCCGTCTCCATATGAGTGAAAAATTCTCGAGAGGGACGTTAAACAACAAACAAACAAACAATCAATCAATAAAAAGTCTAACAGCGTGTTATCAACAACACAACGGCGCGCACCTTAAAACAACATGACGTCGCGCTAACACACAACACGAATTGTGTAAATTTGTGTTAGCGCGACGTGTTTTGTAAAGTTGCGTTAGCGTGACGGCGTGTTTTGTGCTAGCGCGACGGCGTTTTGTTTAAAGTTAAAAAGTTTTCTATTAGCGCGACGGCGTTTTATGTAAAGTCGTGTTAGCACGACGACGTGATGTGAACAACGCCCTATCGGGACACCATACAAAATATCACTTCTTCAACAAAATCGCGATATTAGGGATTTAAGGGGGGAAAACAAAACATAATTTATCATTTAGAACTATTATCAATTACCTGTGAAGCTGTGCCCTTGCTTGGTACAATAGAAATAATAAATAACTGCATGTATCACAGTCTGCACCGGAAGTTTGATGCTGTTTCGTTTGAAGTTACGTTTTCTATAATAGAATTTACTACTTATAGTTGTTTTCTATTATACGTTCTGTAGAGGACGTTTTGGTTCAGTCACTGCTTGCATGAAGCGAAAAACGATAGAAGGAAGTCATTCAATCATAGCTAGATCTCACCGATCATCGGTAGTAAATTTGTGGACATCTTTAAGATCAATTGTGAATGGAACCCCCACCCTACCCAGAATCCAAGATGTCCCTTTTTGCATAGAAAAATAAATTTTAAAAAAACCTGCAAATTCTACAGGTTTTAGTTTTAATATTAATCATCATTTAATAATCTAATTCAGTCATATTCTGAAAAACAAACAATACACAAACATACCATCCTGACTCCAGGCCCCTTTGGAAATGGTATACTATGTATGTATATATCATATATAAGTGGCATATATTTCTGCCCCCTACATGCAAGATAAAGTGTGTCAACATGCTATAAAAGTATGTCTACATGCAAGATAATTATGTCTACACATAAAAGATAATTATGTTAATTGACATGCAAGTTATCTTGCATATAAGGGGGGTGGGGGGGGGGCAGATATATGCCACCATATTTTCCTCTTTTTTTAATTACAAAATAACGAACAGTGGAAGACTTTCATTTTTCACTCGCTGAGACATAACATATTGAGTTGGCAGACCTTCCCTATACAATCAAAGTTTACAAGCATCTCTCTCCTTCCCGAGGCAGCTATTTC